CAATTTGAGATGGAAAGTCGATCGACTTCAATGCAATCGCTCCAAGATTGAACGCTCCAACTCAAACTGAAGCTGTTGCAAGAGAAACAGAGATGACTCAAAACAAGATTCTCTATTCTGCAAAGCTTGACGAGAACATGCGAAGATCAGCCTACTTCGAAACGAACAAGCGAACTGTCAAATCAAACATCATGTTGAAGTTTGTGACGAAGGCGATGGATATCAAGCTTCGAGGTGAAGCCAATTTCACGACTACTCTTGAAGATCCAATCGAACTTTTGAAACGTATTGAACGATTCATGAAGAAGAGTCAACCACTTAGCAAATTCATCATTTACTTTTGGATCCATGTGACTCGACATAAGATCGTCAACATGAAATCTGATAGTTTGCTGTTTTTCATCAACAACTTTGTTAGCAACACACAGGTCATACGGATTGAAAACAAATCCCTTTGCCTCCAAATCACTTTGAAACTGATTATAGAATAAGAGGCTCGATTGCAACATCCCATATATAGCATGTAGTACCCGCACATAGATTACTCGCTTTCCGTTCTCTAATACAGCGTATTCGCGATACTCTGGGGCCATGTCAATCAATCTCTGGACCATCATGCCAGTGATTTTCATGTAGACACGATCTTCTCCTTCCTTAGCTTCAGGCATATAAGTTTTAATGAAAGCATTAGGCACGTCCAGCGTCATTATATCTCTACCTTCGTGTGCATCAAAAACACAAGTAGTGGTGATTGCTTCTTGCAAAGCAGTTGGACTTGCAGTGTCCTCTCGCGATAACCATTCACGAGTTCCATTGCCTTGGAATACTAGGCGACCTTTAATTGTCTTTTCGAATTGCTTTTCCGCAAGTAACATCATCGCTGATTGGGCCTTCTTTCGCTCAGACGCGGTCATGTCTTTCACAAATTTGGGAGTAAAACAATCTCTCAGGAGCATTTGTCTCAATTCCTTATCCACAGCATCTTTTCCATCGTCACCGAACTTCTTCAGTCCTTGATTGATGTAATACTGTTGAATGAAGTTCAGACCTTTGTCAGTATCAAACTTTGCCTTGATCTGCATCATGCAACGAGCAATCAGAATAGCATCGTGCTCTTCATAATCAGCTTTCATCTCATTCCCAATCTGTTGGAAACATAGATTGTGCTGTGCTTCAAGGATGGCTTTACTGTCTTTAGTACTGCGACTTCCTTCTTTGGTACGAATACCAGACTTCAATTTGTCCTTCAACGGTTTCATTTCCCTCTCTTGATGCTTGCGTCTTGTCGCAACTCAATTCTTGTTCTTATTGGCAGAACTGCCACTCCTGCTTGAAGACCATTCTCTTGCTTTCTTTGGAACTTGAGAAAGGTTCAGCCCTGACATTGTAGCTTGCGCATACGTTTGCCCAGATCGAGTGACTTTTGCTACTTGAGGCATTTCAGGCTCAAATACAATCTCTTCTTCTGGCGGTTCTTGTAGATCCTCCAGATCAGTAACAAGGCTTCCAATATCATTGGTTCCTCTATTGACATTTTCTTGATGGTGATCCAAATCGGCCATAATAGGTTCTTCCTCTTTATCGCCTTCATCACCCGAATCGGCGTCATCTGATTCATAGTCATCATCCCCTTGGAATCTGACAGTGAGTTCTGGCATATCATTGACATCATTGTCTGCATCTGCCAAGAGCTCATTTCTTTCGGAGTCATCAATATCATTGAATTGTCCACGTAGGTTAAAATCACGTTCATCTGCATCTTCAGGTTCGTAGTCCTGATCAAAGGCTTCCTCTAAGTAACCTTGTTCCGTGTCATCCACTCCTGCGATTTGATCGCCATCTTGAAATGTCTCCAAATCTCTCTTCTTATCAAAGAAGTTCATGGAAGTAACACCTTCGGCAGCAGCCCAAGCTTCAACACGCTGGATTACTTGGTCGGTAGTACGACCGTTAATTGAACCAGAGAGTGTCCGTCATTCGTACGTTTAGATAGTTTAACCTAGAGATTCGCACACATCTTGTAAAATCCCCATGTTTGTCATGGTACTCGTTTTTGCCCCAAATCTCTCGTACCTCGCTACTCAATTTAACGGTTTATCCGACCCAAGCAATCCACAATGGATAGAGGAGCCTGGGAAGGCTTTCAAATAATATCTGTTTGAAGAAATCGCCTCATTCAGCCATGGTTAGGATCACCATCGTCGTATCGATCTCGTGATTTTTTCATGCCACAATTTTGGCGTTCAGATGCGCACCAAAGGCTAATCACGTCGCAGCGTTAACTAAATTGTTCGCTAGCAAAGGCTAAACGGCAGACGTGCCATGCATGCAACCATCCGTGCCACGTTTATATACAGCTCTCAATATGAGATGCTTTGACATTTAGGGCTAAATTATTTGAAGTTACCAGATATCACCCAAGTTCTCCTTCTGGCGATTCTCTCCAGTGATTTCCGACTTCAAGTCCGACACTTTTTGACCTGAAACCAAACAACACATCAAAAAAAAAATCAATCGTCAACACATCATCGCATCACAATGGCTGCTGTTATTCAATTTCGTAACTGGTGCGAAGTCGATCTCCTTATTCGACCTGTCCTCACTCAACACATGACCGATGTTGAAGGTCTTGACTCTGTTGACCCCTTCGCCAACAGAACCACTTCTCAAGTTCGTGAGGACATCAAATCTATGCAAAGAGCCCCTGATCCCAACAATGCAAATGCGACTATTGGAGTCACCGCTCGCAAAGCAAGCGATGACTATTCATCGTATCTCCAAATATGGGAAGCTCCTCACTTTGGTTCAAAGAACCCATACACCAGCCCTTGGAACCATTCAAAATCTCCTTTTTATTGGTCAATTCTATGATGAAAACCCAGATCTTATGGAAGGGGACTCCTACCCACTTCCTCCACATCCTCCAAAGTTCAACAATCGCGATGGTCAAATCATGATGGAAAACATTGAAAGTTGGGCTCGTACTGCCTATGGCTACCGTGGAATTCGCCTTGATTATATTTTCCGTGAAAACTCTGCACTTCCACTCGTCGGTGACCCTGGTTTTCTCAAAGCCGATGATGGCACTTGCTCCATCCAGGAAGAACTTGTCCGACGTGCTGCCCATACTGGCGCTGTGTTCCGTTGTAACAACCAGAAATTTTGGGTCACGCTCCATGCCGTCACTCATGAAACCGATGCTTACAATCACGTTCGTCAATTTGCTCCAACTTTGAATGGCCGAGCTGCATAATTCGCTCTTTTTGCACAGTATCGTGGAAGGGGGCACTTCACCAATGAACGCCAAGCTGCTGTCCGTGTCCTCGCAACACTTCACTGGAACGGTAAAGCTTGAGGCTTCACTTGGAATACTTTTATCAGTCGCCTTATTGGAGCCTTCAACGACCTCGAGTTGAACGGTGATCCACGCTCTGATGCAAATAAGGTTGACGTACTTCTTGAGAAAACTGTTGGAGATTCCTCACTTTCCAATGGAAGATCACATATTACAGGAGATGCCGTTCTCCGATCCAATTTCCAAGGTGCCATCGATTATTTAACAACACAAGTCTTAGCTGCAGGTAACGACAACACCCAGCGCCGCAATCGACAACTTGCTGCTTTCACACGTGGTGGTGGCGGACGTGGTGGTGATGGGAGAAGTGGAGGCCGTGGCCAAGGAAATGGCGCCTCAAAGCGCCTGCAATCAAATGTTCCAGATCGCTTTAGCCGCAACGGTATACTACTAAATGATGGAGGTTATTCAAATCAAATTTGGAGAGAGGAGTTTACACAAGAAGAAAGAAATATCTGTTTAGAAATGTGTCGCAACCGTCGCAATGGTGGTGGTTGTGGCGGAAGAGGCCGTGAAGGCCGTGGTGGTCGTGGTCGTGGTATCAGCGCTGTCCATGATGGACGAGCTGATCAAGAAGAAACAAAAGAAGATAACAATGATGGGCGTGGGGCAGGTGCAGGAATGAGTCGTTGCCGTCGCAACAATGGTGGAGACGATTGACTAGGAACCTCATCTATTGGATCCCTCACAAGCACTCGCCCAAATTCTCGTATGGTATCAGTGCTATCATCAACAAACACCCTTACCAACCGATGTGAACTGGATTCGTATGCAGATACATGTGCTTTTGATCCTGCTGGATGTTGTGTCCTTTTGACGTCATCTCATTCAATCAATGTCACTGGTTTTCACAATGGTTTAAAAATCAACAATGTTTGCATTGGAAATGTCTGTCTTGCCTTTGACTGCCCATTTGACCATCAAACCTACTGTCTGCATTTCTGTGAAGTGTTTCTAATCCCTGGTCTAGGATCTGTGTCGATCAACTGCGTGCCAACAACGTAGTGGTAAATGACGTGTCGTTAATTCGTTTTCACCATTATCTTATACCTGACGATGCCAAGTCACTCACTCAAGGGAAATTCCGAGAAGTTGCTAACAAAGGACAAGTGCCAATTCATCCTATTGAGCCTCATCATCCTAATCAAGCACTGACAGAAGACACAATTTGGGAAGGAAGTCGACTTTACCGTCGGTTCATGCATGCAAGGAATATCCCTATTGCGTTCTGGGATCGAGTTTTTATGTATGCTTTTGAGATTCGCAGTCACATGGCACTGGGACTTGCAATACAAGAAGGAGAATGTAGAGCCACAATTGTTTCTGGCAACACTAAAGATATCTCTCATCTGGTTGATTTGGCTATTTGGGATTGGTGTTGGTGCCTTTTGATGGGAAGCAACTATGTCGTTGGCTTGGTCCAAGTTTTACTATTGGAGCAGCTCTTTGTTTTGCTGTTGCTATTGCCAATGGACAAGTACTACAACAATCGTCAGTGATTCCTTTGTCAGCCAAAGAGCGAAACAGTGAACCAATGGAAGAGAAAAAGAAAGAGTTTATGGAAGACCTGAAGAAGAATCTGAAGAAGACGGCTGATGGAGTTTCTATCTCTGAAGAAGAACTTGATCGCATTCGGCATAAATACAACATGCCAATCTCTGCAATCGAAGACGGTGGTTACCGGCAGTATGCACAATATGAAGATCACCCACAAGAAGATCCTTGTCACAAGATTGAAGATGATTTTGAAGAGCCGCCAGATCAAGAATCAGATCCTGTTGAGTTCGACAAATATGTCTCTGCAAAAGTATCGTTTAATGCAGATGGAGTTGAGACTTTTGGAGTTGTTCAAGGTCGGAAGCGTGACTCATCTGGAAAATTGATTGGTCACTACCACGAGAATCCACACCTTGACACATCTATCTATCAAGTGGAGTTCGAGGATGGAAAAGTGGAAAGCTTCTATGCAAATCAGATTATTGAAGGGATAATGATGAATGTCGATGATGAAGGTAACACGATGTACCGGATTCGCGAATTTATTGATCATCAACGTGATGGACGAGCAGTTAGAGGGGAAGATGGATGGTATACTACCTCCATCGGTCTCAAGCGTCCACGAAAGACTACTAAAGGATGGAAATTATTAGCTGAAATGAAAGGTGGAGAAACCGAATGGCTTGATCTATCAGTAGCAAAAGAAGCGTTTCCTATCGAGGTCGCTGAATATGCTGTTGCAAACAAGCTTGTGTCAGAGCCTGCCTTTGCGTGGTGGGTTCCCTACACTTTGAGAAAGCGTGATCGAGTTTTGAAAGCTGTTAAGCGCCGTGCTGTGAAAAGACAGAAGCCAGAAAAGTTTGGTATTGAAGTGCCTGGTCCTGGGCCGAAAGGCGTTGCACGTGCGTATGAACTTGATGCTCAGAATGGTACCTCACATTGGAATGATGCCTTGATCAAAGAGGTCAAAACAATTCTACCAGCTCTGAAGATTCTGGAAGATGATGAAGATGTTCCCGTTGGATACCAGCTCATTGAGCTTATGACTGTTTTTGATGTCAAGATGGATCTCACACGGAAGGCACGAATATGTGCTAGAGGGGACCAAACGGATCCAGTGTTGTGACAAGGGAAAGTATTCGCTTTGCTTTTGTTATTGCTGCTTTGAATGGTTTGAATGTTTTGAGTGCATATCTGAATGCCAAATGTGCCAAGAAAGTTTATTGTATTTTAGGGAGGAGTTTGGAGAGTATGCCGGGAAGAAAGCTATCCTGGTTAAGGCCGTTTACGGACTCAAAAGTTCCGGATTCGCATGGAGGAGCCTCTGTGCAGACGTTTTGAAGGAACAATTGGAGTTCCAACCATGTCGTGGAGATATGGATGTTTGGCGTCGTCCTTGTCAACGCAAAGATGGTTTGAAGTATTATGAGTATATTTTAGTTTATACTGATGATGTCATTGCAATCTCGGAGAATCCAAAAGCGATTATGGACAAACTCAACAATTTCTTTGTTTTAAAGCCTGACTTGATAAAAGAGCCAACCACATATCTTGGTGCAACAATCTCAAAGCACAAGTTGGATGGTGATGATTATTTCACCTGGGCTATTGGATCTGAAGCGTATCTACAAGAGTTGTTACGAGTTGTCAAGAAACAAATTGCGCCAATGCAACTGACTTTGAAGAAAAAGGTTTACTCAACTTTACCCACTGGATACAAGCCGGAACTTGATTCTACTCCTTTTGTCGATGATGATACTGCTATTTTCTACATGCAACTCATCAGTATTATGCGCTGGCTTGTGGAACTTGGTCGTATTGATGTCGCTGCCGAAGTGTCTATGCTCTCGTCTTACAATGCAATGCCTCGTGAAGGTCACTTTCATGCTGCCTTACATATTTTTGCCTAATTACAGAAGCATCTTGATTGTGTGCTTGTGATGGATTGTGGTTATGCTGACCATCTTAGACTATTAAAGAAAGCTGATTACTCACAGTTCTCTGATTTCACTGAGGATGAACTCCCAAGTGACATGCCTACACCTCTTGGCAAAGCAGTAGAGTTTACTATGTTTGTTGATGCATCTCATGCTGCTAACGTTGTTACTCGTCAATCAAGAACAGGAGTATTGATCTTTGTTAACAAAGCTCCCATCATCTGGTATTCGAAAAAGCAGAACAGTGTCGAGACAAACATTTTTGGTTCTGAATTTGATGCTCTAAAGACAGGTGTTGAATTACTTGAGGGACTACGATTCAAGCTCAGAATGATGGGTGTCCCAATCCAAGGTTATTTTTATTCTTGCGTTGACAATATGTCCGTTGTCAAGAACTCAAGTGTTCCTGAATCTCAATTGAAGAAGAAATCGAACGCTGTCGCATATCACTACAATTGCTCTAGATGCGCAATTGATATCCTACAAATTGAATGGATAATTTCCGCTGAGAACTTGGCCGATGTTTTAACCAAGATCCAATCTGGACCTGTTTGTGACCGTCTTATGGAACATATCATGTGGAAAGCAAAGCAAAATGGAAAACTTGCTCTTCTGATTTAACTTTTGGAAACGTCTTCATCCGTCGCCGGATATTGTCAGTCTTGGACAGTATTGGATGATACGTCCTCCCAAGAGGGGGTACGGTTGATATTAGCCCAATTCGGAGTACAAGGTTCTCTGCTAGATCAGTATCACCTTGAGGGGACCGTTAATTGGACCAGAGAGTGTCCGTCATTCGTACGTTTAGATAGTTTAACCTAGAGATTTGCACACATCTTGTAAAATCCCCATGTTTGTCATCGTACTCGTTTTCGTGCCAAATCTCTTGTACCTCGCTACTCAATTTAACGCGACGACCTTGGGTCGAGAAATCATCTTCTTAGTATTGAGGTTGAGCACTTGGTGCCCAGTACGTTGTCCCTTTGTAGGTTGAATGTAGATCGCTTTGATACTTTGCGGTTCCATTGAATTGTTGGAATCCGTCCCAATTGCATGAACATACTGTCCAAGCTCAGCAACCATGTCACTCTTGTAGTTGATATTGACATTATCAATGAGTTGCTGCGGACTGAAATGTGAGGAAATACTGTCTTTCTGGGGAAAGACATTCAATAGCTTGGCGGCTCAACGTCCAAGACATTCTGTGATCACCTTTGGGACCACTTTGTAGGGTAATTGTGCAAGAGCTACTCTGACTCTTTCTTTCAGCGTTTGATTGTTTCGCTCAGCTGTAGGCTTGTGGTCTCCAGCTGCAGTTGGGTCAATAGTAACACCCATATTGTCTAGCATATCATCCGTGAAAGGGATGAATGCCCAATCACACTTGATCGTCTTGACATGAAAGCCTGCCTTGTTGTAGCGGCGGAATATCTTATCCAATGCTTCAAATATAGGTTCAGTCTTCAGGTTCTGCATGAGAATACATGAGCAATAACGCACAGTGGTATCAATGTAGGTGAGAAACTTAGCATCTCCGATCTCCGTGTAATCAATACAGACAGTAATTGTTCGATTATGTTGATACAATTCCTCTGGTGGACTGAAGAAGTCATCGTGTGTCTTCTTTGGAGTTGGTCTTGTTGACTTGCCTTTCAAAGTAGATGCGTCAGGTCCAAAGATGGCTTTGGCATGATTGATCACTTCTTCAGTGATAGGACAGTTCTTGATGAGACCAGATCGGATCACATACTTCAGATTTTTGGTGCTTGGAGCATTGAGTATGTGAATAGCACTTCTCGCTTCCATCGCAGCCTTGACTTGTCTTGGAGTGAATCCTTCCTTGTTCTTTTGAACCATTGCCATTTTTGCAGTCATCCTGAGTCCAACATATCCATTCTGTTTGTTTGAAGAAAATTCGAAATGGGGTTGTTTATTTACGTTGCTTAGCTGGCGACGATACATTGCACTTGTCTCTTTGGCACCTGGTTCGACATTCGCTCCAAGTTGAGGGAGCTGGGTATCAAACTGGATTTCGAACGTGATATGATTGAATGCCAAAACTTGTCCATTCCCATGACTAATATTGACCAGTTGGACGATCTGAACGATCTTCAATTCATTACTACAGGTATCAAAGAGTTGCAAAGTACAGCAGAAGCTGTTGAGCGAGTAATCAAAATCCTAGATGCTAAATATGCTCCTGTGTCACCTGATCAAATTATAGCAAACACCTTGCATCTTCCAGATGAACAGAGGCAAACCTTAAAACCTCTTCTAGAAAAACATGTTAAGCTGTCTGATGGAACACTTGGCAAATGGAAAGGAGTACAGCACAAGCTTGAATGGAAAGATCCAAATTCACCGCCTTTTACGTGTCAACCATATCCAGTTCCAGTGAAGAATAAGCACACGCTCATGCTGGAAATCGAACGTTTGTGTAAAATTGGTGTTCTTTGGAAAGTGAATAATTCTGAATATCAATCACCTATGTTGTGATACGACGAAATATGAGTTTTTACGTTCCAAGAAAAACTATTCAAGTACAAAGTTTTGACACGTGCGATCGGACTTTGATCATGATGTCAGGATTCGACGCAAGTCTGCCGGACAATCTATATCCACACAAAAAGGGAAAGACCCAATACAAGTGGAATATCAATGTTGTGTACGATGCAGTAGGGAATAATACAAGATGTCCCAAAGTACTGTATTTGACACAGAATCTTTGTAGAAGTCGAATCGAGTTCTGTAAACAAGGGATTTTTCAAGGGAAAATCGTTGAACTCACTGTTGTGATTGAATCATCAATTCAAGCCAAACGTTAATCAAATAGGAACAATTTCACTCAAAGTATACCTAACACAGGAGAACTATTGTGGTGAAAGTGTTGTACAGTCGATTACGAATTTAGATTGCAGAGAGTTTGTTCTGAGCGCTAAAAGCACTCACGATAGAGCACATTTTGCTTTAATCTAACATTCAATCACAAAAGGCAACAAAACAAAAATACGTCAAGAACAGCACTGCCTTATCTACAAAGGAGTGAGTGATTCAACAGTTGTGAAACATCTATTTTCAACAAACGATGAAAACAATGGAAAGGCAAGATCGTTGTACAAAGATGCCAAAGAAAGAGTGATTGACTATATCCAAGCTTCTGGAATGAAATGCTCCGAAGACATGGTGAAATCGATTCAAGATGGAAAATTGATCGACTTCAATGCGATTGCTCCAACACTGAATGCTCCAATTCAAACTGAAGCTGTTGCAAGAGAAACAGAGATGGCCCAAAACAAGATTCTTTATTCTGCAAAGCTCGACGAGAAGATGCGAAGATCAGCCTACTTTGAAACGAATAAGCAAACTGTGAAGTCAAATATCATGCTGAAGTTTGTGACAAAGGCAATGGATATCAAGCTTTGAGGTGAAGCCGATTTCACGACTACTCTTGAAGATCCAATCAAACTCTTGAAACGTATTGAACAATTCATGAAGAAGAGTGCTGTAGCTGAGTATGACTTCTTAGATTTCTGGGAAGCCAATCAAAAGTTCTTTGCTATGAAGCAAGGAACAACCGAAAACTTGATGCATTTCAAGGAACGATTCATTCTTGAGACAGGCTGAAGTCATGCAAGATCTATATGGCGTTGCCTGGTTCCGAAATTTTGCAGTCAAGACAAAAGCGTATGCTGCTATTGCTAGCACCGATACTACTGCTAGAGACAAGTTCAAGGATGATATCTTTGAAGCAGTTATTGCAACAGGATTTCTGTGCAACTGCGATCGAACGAGAACAGCTCCTCTGATGCTGGATCTTCAGACAAACTACTGCAGGGAAGTGGATTATTATCCAAAGACGATCAGCAAAGCACAAGATATGTTGAAGATTCACATGGATGTGATCAAGAATCTAGGAGTGAACCTGTACCAAGGAAAAGACCAGCCTAATAAAGGTAAAGGTAAACTGAAGGACGATAAGAATCATATGTCTCCAAAATGCTCAGACAGACTGCTACCAGAGATTCAATGGAAACATCCAAAACACTATGTTGATTATGGGAAGAAGCTCAATCTTAACCAGATTGGAGCAACTGTCCCAGCTATAGTTCCTGGACCGTCTCCAGCGACAAGTATTATCACTGGTGGAACATCGAGTGTTGCGGGAAGTATCAACACACCTTTGCGACTTGCTGGTACTACAGGTAATCAAATGATGCAAGTTTCTGCGGGAATGCAGCTCATGCAGATTCCAACCCAAGGTGGCAGGACTATGACTGTCCCTTACACAATGAATTATAATGGTGAGACTGCGTTCAGTGGAATGCAACTCAGCCAACAAGGCTTCAGTGGTGCTCAAGTGCGCCAAGGATTCGATGCAACTCCAGCTCAAACTCCGCAGGTCGTGAAGACTGGCTATTTTGATACGTCAAATGTCTTCCACGATGCTATCAAGGGAAAGGATGAGATTGGAAATGATCCATCATCTGTCCTTGATCTCTGGCACCACTTCGGCAGTGTGGCCGGGTCAGGCTTCCATGGTTGGGTTCCTGAGTTCATTACCATTGAAGGTAGTGAGGATCGCCTGGTCCAGGCTCTTCTTGCCGGTACCCTTCGTGTTGTGAGCGACGGCTCATACAAAGCTAAAGTTGGCACAGCATGCGCCCAAATTCTCACTGAGGATCGCAGGGACATCATCTGGATCACCTGCCAAACTCCAGGGAAATTTGAAGATCAGAGCTCAACTCGTAGCGAATTGATTGGCCTTATGGCTTCTCTCCTGGTGTTGGAATGGATGTCTCAGGTCGCTCAACTGAAACTCTTTGCCAGCCAACCCTCGGTGGAGATGGCCTGCGACGGGCTCATTGCTATTGATAAGTCCTTCTCCGAAGTGCACCTGTCATCGTCTGGTGCTCAGTTTGACTTGGCCTCTACCATCCGGGCCCTGCTTCGCCACCTCCCTCTCCAAGTCCAGCGGCGCCATGTCAAAGGCCACCTGGATAAGCACCGACCTTTCTCCCAACTGGACTGGTGGGAGCAGCGAAATGTTGAAGTGGACTCCAAAACACAAGCCCACTGCCGCCTGCTCGAGTCTACGGGCCGCTCGGCTGCCTCCAACCCCCGCTTCTTCCATGAACCTGTGTCTTCATTCATCAATGGTGTTAAGTCTTCCAAACTGGATCAGGCTCACATCATGGAGCTGGTCTCTCTTCCTGCCCTTTGAGCATATTGGTCCTCCAAGGACCGCCTCTCCGAGCAGTCCATCCGTGAGGTCGATTGGTTATCTCTTGCACGCGCCATGAAGGCCCTCCCAGCAAATCTCCAACGCTGGACACCCAAGCATATCTCCTGTATGACAGGTGTGGGCAAATTCTTGGCCATTTGGAACCGTTCATCAAAGAGCTCTTGCCCCAGATGCTCGTCCTGCCCGGTGGAAGATCACCTTCATGTCCCACGCTGTTCTGCTCCTACTGCAGCTGCAGAATGGTTGAAACGCCATCTGGCCTTCCGGACCTGGATGCAGACTCAGAAGACCGCCCCAGGGATTGAAGCCTTCCTCTTTGAATACCTGAAGACCGTCCGCCAGCCTTCCCTGGGCGTTCCCACCGTCCGAACCTGGTCCCGCCGTCCCCACCTCTTCCGAAGTGCCATCTCCTCCCAGGCCAAGCTTGAGGCCCAGGGCCTCCTGGAAGGCCTATTGTCCCACAAATAGAAACACCTGCAAGTCCTTCACTTCTCCTACATTGGCTCCAAGAAGTCCGCCAACCTTTGGGCCTCCCGCCTGATCCAACAACTGATCCGGATTGGGCACTACATGTGGCAAGATCGCAACCGGCTTGCACATTCTGAAGACAGCTCCTGGTACACGGCCCGCAAATGGGAGATTGACATTGGCATCCGCGAACAGTTCGCTATAGGTCTAATTGATGTCCCCCAACGCTCCCAGTCCTCTTTCGTGACTCCCGCGAAACGGTCCTCCACAAATCACTAGAAGATCGTCAACATTGGCTGCGCCTTGTCTCCCATGAGAGGGCGATCAACCGTCGCTCTCTAGCCAGGCAACGCCAGATGATCTTCAACCTGGCGCGACCCGCCTGTTAGAATAAAGCAAAATGTGCTCTATGGTGAGTGCCTTTAGCGCTCAGAACAAACTCTCTGCAATCTAAATTTGTAATCGACTGTACAACACTTTCACGACAATAGTTCTCCTGTGTCTAGGTATACTTTGAGTGAAATTGTTCCTATTTGATT